CAAAAGTATAGGGACACCTGCAGATCATTGCAAATAATTGAATAAATTGGCATGACAAGAACTAAAAATTTTACTATCTGCTTATTAAGTAAAAAATTAATCTTCATATCAAATATTATAATATACTGAAGTTTCACTGCATATAAATAAAAACATTGTTGTTTTACAACCTTAAAAGATAAAAATGAAAATTTTGGAATTTTCTGAAAAATGTTTGACTTGAAAATTGACCACAATAGCAAGTTCTAATAACCTTTGTGGTATAAGTAAAAAATGGGTCTCTTGTTTAAATCTAGTTACTTCTAAAATTTTAGAGCATTTGGTGTATATTTAATATTAATGTTAATAATAATGATTATGAAAAGCCAAATACCAATTGTTTACCATCTTGATGAGAATCTTATAATTACCCAGCAAGATCTGCTCCACATTTTGATTTCAATGACAAATCAATGCAAATTAAAAAAAAAGTTACCTCTGGTTAGTTATTAACACGTTTCTTTTTAGAGCCAATCATGCTAAGCAACATCACTTGCATTTGTCATCTGTCAAAAAATAAATTGTTTTTCCAAAAAAAAAAAATCACGGGGTTCATACATAAATAATTGGTATATGTGTTTATGTCGATCAAATAAAATAATATTGCTTTAAATTAAAAATGAACAAACTATTGAATAAAAGAAGAAAACATCAAGGAGAAACAAGAAATGGATAAGTGTTGTTTATTGTAAGAATGGTAGTTATTGCCACCACTCATCACCACTCTAGTTAAAATTTACAATTGATCCAATGGAATATAAAAAATGACACTATTATTTGAAAATATTATTATGTCCAATTGGACAAAATTTCCAGCACTGATTAACACTGATGTGTGTTTCATTGACTAATTTTCAAACCTTTTCAACTTTTTTTTAACAAAGAAAATGACGATGTCATCATCAATAAGTAAGTTTTTTTTTCAAGTAATGGTTGTGTAGAGCCACTGCTGTTATTCTAATTACTAAAAAATGATAGTTATTCTAGTTCTTATGTAAAGGAAATTACCAATTTGTACCAAGTTGCGAAAGAAAGAAATTCATATGAAGAGTAAGTTTCACATATTGAAAATATGTTGCCTTATAATTTTTAAATAAACATCTCTTGGTTTGAATAGACCTATATTTTGGAGAATCACTGACGCAAATTTGAAGATGTCACATAGTTCAAGAGAAGAATTGCAGAGGAATTTGGGTCATCACACTTCTACATACTTTCATGATCTGCAAAAGTGTTTTTAAATGTTTTATATCAAGTAAGTATCACTAATACTTGGAAAGTTCAGGACTTACTTTTGATAAATAATCATCTTATTATACATATCATAGTGCACAGAAGAGGAACTACAAATATTGCACGTAACTTCAAGGTCATAAGCTCCAAAGGAATAATCAACAAACTAGGGCATAGTGGACACTGTTGAAGATCACAAAAAAATCATCAACATAACATATGTTATGGTGAAAGTTCTTGCAAAAGTTTGATTATAAAAGTGTGAGATAATTTTGATCTTGCTGATGATCTGGACTTAGAGAGGCTACAGCTATATTCTAGTGAAGTTTCAGAAGCAACGAACTCTGTGTAACTGCCTGTTTATTATACAAATGACTGTTGCACAAAATGAGTGTCCATTATGCTACAAACTAGCAGAATCAAAGATAAACTGAAAAATATCTGTGAAAGAAAAACTTCATACAAAACTTAAATTTCAAGGTGAATTTCCTACTAATGCTATCAGTGATGATGATGATATTAAACAACAGTTAATGTCTGTTGATCCAGCAGATCCAGAAATCATATGTATACTTGATGTTATATATGAATCATGTGCATACATTGAGAAGGGAATACCAAAATGGCCAAATACTGAGAGGGATATTGGGATATTTTATAGCAGAACCTTATTTGAGATTTTAACCAATGGAGTGGATCTTCATTTGTAAATATACTTTTTTACATATGTAAAACCAGAAGAAATTGATTGCTTTCATTAATTATTATTATACTAATTGATTGTAGTGGAGAAATGTGTGGCTGAGCATCATGTGAACGAAGACAAAATGCATTAAATGGGACTAGTAAAGATGAGGGTAGTAAACTTGATTGGCTTTTTTCGGTAATTTACTTATGTCTTAATAATTTACTGTGGTTCTGTTTTTATATGTTATTTAATGTTGAAAAATTTTATTATTCCACTAAGGTTCATGATCTTGGAAAAGAATCCTATTGGGGCTGTGAATCAGGTTTGTCTGAGAACACTGGCACCAAAATTGGAAATAAAACTAAGGTGTCATCAAACTTTGTAAAATCCAAGAAAAATCTTCATGATATGCTCCAAGTCATTGACAGAACCCTTCCTCCTAGAGGTAAATCAAAAGAAATTGATGAAGCTAGATTGCTGGTTACACTTCTGGCAATTATCTACTCATCATGAAGGTATAATGTAATTGCACTATCAGCACTTTACTCAAAGTGGTATGATGTTTCAGATATAGATTATTTTGACATTCCACTGATGATCAGTGAAATCCACCAAGATCTCAAATGTTGCAGTGTTATTTTAAATGTCCATGTAAGTACAGAAAATTGATTCTCATTTGTATTTATTAATCTAAATTTACTCCAATTTGGCATAAATAAAATATCCTTAAAGAAACAGTTGATATTTATAAATGCTACATTGAGATAGCTAGAGAAGAGAAATTGAATGATTCAAGTAAAGAACCATGGGTTGCTGAAAATAGATCTCCAAAATAAAGATTAATAATTAGTTGAGATTAAATGTATTGTTTGATCATTATCAATGTTCTTGATGATTACTCCATTCAAAATGATCATATTTTGAAGATTATTTTCAATATCATAAATTACATTAAAGACTTGGTACATGTGTGGTGATTAAAGTACAAAAGAATTTACTTTATCATGTTGTTGCATCATATCTCAATATCCTGGGTTTGAACTTTTAAAATGGTGCAAGAAAAACATCGCAAAAAAATAGAGAATACAAAAAAAATTATAAGTGATCATTTTAGCGGAAATCTCTACATTATTCATCAGGAAATTAAAAGAATGTTGATAGAAGCTGCAAATTTAATATGATAAACACGACAATGATTGATGCCATTTTTAACATTAAACAATACGTGGTGTTGTTTGACGCCTTGTTAAGTGTTGTAAATTTATTATATAAAAACTTTTCCATTAAAATTTTTTTTATACGATTTTATAATATTTATATTAGAATTTAATGATTATTTAATTATCATAAATTTACAAATTATTTAAATTATTTCTTTAAAAATAAATAAATTTATATTGGGTTTTCCAAAACATGAATTGGTTGTAAAATTGGAATGATAC